AAAGCCCTGATTCGGAGTCGAAAAGTCGCGAAATCCCTAAAAATCCTTGTTTCGAGAACCCTCTGCAACAAGCGCATGCGAGATAAAGCATGCAAGTGGGCGGGGCGACTAGGGTCGCCCCGCCTACTTTGCTACTTCCGGAGCGGATTTCTCGCTCCAAAAGCAGTCTTTTGCGGCGAAGCTTGGAGGTTTGTCTAGTATGAGGGTCCACACTAGTATGTCATCATAATCTCGCCAAACTTCATTTTGGGTGGGCGGTGCCTTTAAGAGCTTTACCTGTTTTTTTTTATTGGTACCATTTTCTTCGATTTGTCTTCATGGTTGGTGAGTTATGAGCGTTCAAAGTTAGGTTACCGATTATAAACGCTACTGCTTCTTGAATGATATTATTCGTGGTTCTGATGACACACATATGAAGTTTATGTATCGTCGACTCTAAAAATCGTGACGACGGTGCGGCCAGTGCGCGCCGCACGGCACTGCCGCTTTAACGTAAGGCAATCTTGCTTCACAGCAGTGTAGGCTCCCTGCGATAGCCATGAAAGTTCCTGCAAGCAAAAAAGATGCAAAAAGAAAAAGAAAAACTACAAGAACTCACCTTCTCCACGTAATTTGGGCGAATCACTAGGCGGCAGTGCCGTGCGGCGCGCACTGGCCGCACTGCAGACCGTCGTCACGATTTTTAGAGTCGACGATAGCTTTGAGTATTTACAGAACTCTAAAAGCTTATACAGATGTTGTCCAATTCAACTCTCGATTAATCTCGGCATGTTGCAGACAGAAGATCGTCTCGGAAGGGCAGACCCACCACTTCCTTCGCCGCTGTTTGCGTGAACAAGTGATCCCGAAGTTCATTTCTCAGAAGCAACTGTACCATCTATGCGGTTTATCAAATGGAAGCTCACAGATAAAGAAGATTGAACAACGTATTCTTCGTACTGCCCTACAGGCAAAACAAGATCATCTGTATTGCTTATTGTCTAAGTATTTGTATAAGGATGGCGGTAGCTAGCTGCCAGCTGCTCGCGCGCGCAGAACAGCCCACCCACCCTCACTCATTCATGAAGTTGAGAGAAGTTATTCAAACTTCAGTTCTCTTCATTGAAGTTCGTTTTCTACAACGACCAAAGAAGCTTACGTATTTCACATGCTAAATTGAGCCCAAAACATTTCTATCGCATGTTTATGGCGATGTGATTGCTGATTATTTCCATCTTTAAAAAATAGCAGAAGCCTTGACATAAAGCATTTTTGAATAAAAACAAAGTTTTGGGCATTTACCGCTCCAAAATGTAAGGTCTGCGTAAGATCGTCCGCTGCTGTGACGGTGCTACCAGTGCACCGTTTATTGAAACCCGGGCATCAGGGTGCCACTATTGCCACCTATCGTTATTCTTGACATATACGAACATGTTGTGGACGTTATGTTGATGAGCGCCTTTGCGCCTTTGAAAGAAAATCGCGGAGGAGTGAAGTGCTGTGATCGTATCCGATCTAATTCCAATTCTAGACTGCAGGAAAAGTTCAAAAGGTTAGTGGATCAGGAACAAAATAGTGTTTTGCGGGAGCCAACTAGTGCAAGTTTAATACCAACAGTAATCACAATTGTGCTCTTAATGTTTCTGATGATGTGCTTAGGCGCCCTCGTATCTCAGTGATAGGCAATGTACTCATCTCAGAAAATGCGCTTTCATTGTTGGATCTTAGTCCAGGTTTCGCTCCTTCTCAATCAGGAACCCAGGTGCGATAATGTGAGAATGACTCTTCCAGGGTGAAGGGGGTCACAGTGGTCGCAGCCCCTCCAGGGTGAAGGGTGTTTTACTTGGTAGAGAATTTATGAAATGTTGACGGGGGGGGGGGGAGCCATTATTTTCCCTAGTCAAAGTTCATAATTTCCAATTCCTACCATCACTGTTTGCCTTTTTTCTGAAATGTGAACCGATATGCTGCTGGATTAGCACACAATTATATTTCTAACCAGCACCTTGTATTTTTTTTACATTTCCTTTTCTTTTTTTTCTACATCGCCCTGCTATTTTTGGTATTACCATAGATGTGCATGCGAGAACATTTGTTTCGGAAAGAGGTTAGACAATTAAGCATTTACACTTTTCTTTTCAATAAAAATTCGTAAATGCTTCAACGTCAGCAAGGTAAATGTTTTGAAACCACCTTGTCTTCCGCTTTTAGAGAATATATAGTTTGCCTGGAGTCTGTTGAAAAATTGCCTGATGAAGAGTGTGGGTAGTGATTTTTCGAGTTTTTAGGACAAAAAATTCCGTGACTACTGCAGATGAATAGCTGGTGCAAGGAAACAGTCATCGTCGGAACGGCCTCGTTTTCTGCTTTCAGAATATATACACTTTGTCTGAGCTCCGTTTGAAAAAGTGCCTGGGTGAAGGGTGTCCTAGTGATTTCTGGAGATTTGCGAGTTTTTAACATAGAAAAATTCATAACTTTTTTGGATGAACATCTTGTACGCCGGGATGGTCACCGCTGGAACCGTCTCGTCCTCCGCTTTCAGAAAATATATACTTTGCCTGGGGTCCATTAAAAAAAGTGCCGGGTGAAGGGTGGGTGAGACTTTTATAATGAGAGTGCTCAAGTACAGGCTTTTTTACCATTGTAAAAAGACGTCTACTTGAGCACTCCCATTATAAAAGTCTCTCCCACCCTTCACCCGGCACTTTTTCTAATGGACCCCAGGCAAAGTATATATTTTCTGAGAGCGGAGGACAAGACGGTTCCAATGGTGACTATCTTGGCGTAGAAGATGTTCATCTTTAAAAGTTATGAATTTTTTATATCAAAAACTCGAATATCTTCAAAAATCACCAAGCACACCCTTCACCCAGGCACTTTTTTGAATGGATCTCAAACATGCTATACATTTTTTTAAAGCGGAGGACGGGGCGGTTCCGATGATGATTATTTCCTTGCACTAGCTATTCATCTGCAGTAGTCACGGATTTTTTTATCCTAAAAACTCGAAAATTCCCAGAAATCACTAGGCACATCCTTCACCAGGCACTTTTTTGAATCTCAAAGCTGTATATATTTTGAGAGCGGAGAACGAGGCGGTTCTAATGGTGACCATCTCGCCGTGAAAGATGTTCATGTACAAAAGTTATGAATTTTTTATGTCAGAAACTCGAAAATCTCCGGAAATCACTACTCACACCCGTCACCAAGCACTTTTTCCAACACACTCCTTTTCTATACATGAACAATTCACGTACAAATATCTCCTTTGCTTAACCTTACCTCACTGTTGATTTTTTTTCTCGGCTTTTGGTGAAGGGGGTCACCTTGGTCCCGGCTCAAGGGGTGAAGAGGGGGTGAGAAAATTCTCACACTATCGCACCTGTGATCATCATCCGTAATCAAGTAATGAATGAGGACCTATAGGGCTTATCAAATTGAGTGCCGTTCGCACCAGCATCTCCATCTTCGCGCTGGGCCCTGCGTCTCTTCTGCGGTGCATGCTCCCTAAACACTTCCAATCGATTGATGCTCCGCCTTTCCCACGCTCGCCCTGGGAAAGTGCACAGAGAGCAGCCCTGTGGAATAGACGCAGAGTCCAGCGCGAAGATGGAGATGCCGGTGCAAACGGCACTCGATTTGATAAGTCCTATAAGTTTGCTAACAACTGATGTTGATAGATGACGTAGAAGTATCATTTGCGAGATTTTTTGTTGTTAAGGATTTCAAAACAAGACTGTCATTGGTAAGGATGACTTCATCTCCCCGAATGTACACGTTTTGGGATGCAGAGGTTCTTCTACCTTCATCAAATAAAACCCTTTTATATTCTTGCGAAAAGTTATTGGGATATCTCGATAATGATAAATTCAAAGAGATATCCTAGAGAAACATCAGTTCCTCAGTATTTGCACATTATGGTACATTGGGAGAGTAATCAAGATGAGGAGAATTTTCAGTACTGGCAAGACCAGAGAGTAAACAAGACAAGTGATAGTTTCAGGATGACCTAATTGATGTGGTAAGTAAGATTTATATGTAACAGGTAAGATTTATAGCCAAAGGAAAGACAAGAGGCAGTTGAGTCGCCTTTTATGGTCGCTTTAGCTATATAATGTAGCTAAGGTCAGATAAACCACTATATGTCGGATTCGGACGGTGGCACTATCTACCGTACCCCGCGGGCGCGGCGGGACCACCCGCGATTGGCATGGGCTTGGCGTGAAGCCAACTATCCAGCGCGACGCCATTTGCTTCATAGTTTTCGCATTTTTACGTTGTTTTCCATGATTCTTTTGCGTAATTTGGTTTTCCGCTTACTATTGCTTAATTTCCTTCTTGTAGGACACGTGCAAGCCAAGTATCGCCATCGAGCTGTTTCGATAGGTACACTGGTAAGCTTTTTAGTAATGATGTAGCCATTTTGTCTACAGGCGGTCTTTTAGTTGCTCTTTACGACGCCGTAACGTGGTGCCGAAGATTGTCAATTATCCAATACGAGAGGAAACCATTAAGAGTGACGAAGGGTTGAAGATGTTGGTTTCTTCAGTTTTTTGACCTTTTGTTGAAAATTTTCGAGATTTCGTCTCCTGAATTTGGTTTCGGTAACATATCAAAAACCATGACTGTAACCCGAACTAGGTTAAACTGAATTCCCTTTTTCCTGTGTGGGTCTACATGTCGATATGGGTCTGCGCAGCGATGGTATTTTTAGCATCAGGTCATCAAGAATTCTGCACACCGTCTACACATTTGTGAACAAATCAAGATTTTTTTCTGCTCCTCGTTGTTTTAGAGTTATTTTACAGGAGTGCGAGCTCTAGAGCACCGAGCAACCGGACTGCGCCATTGCGAAACCAGCCGAGCTCCGAATCTCGCTGTTTTGTTTATGAACGTTTTATAATTGCCGCGTGTCTGTGAAGAATTTTGGCTTGCTTGAATGATAGACTTTGAGAATGTTTACACCTTAGAGATAAAAGTTTTAATGATAAAGAAGCAACAAAATACAGAAACTTGAGTATAAGCTGTATAACGAACACGAACATGAATCCACATAAAAACCAATATCATGTTCGTATGATTCATCTGCAAAACGAATAGCCCCTGCCATCACTATAACATCTATTACTATCTACATACCGCAAAATTTCCTAATTTCTGGCTTCGCTTCCAAAGAACAAGGGAAACATTGCGTCAAATCCACTGGATTCGTGGGTGATATGGCAAAGAATGTCGGCAAAGTAGACAAAGTCGACAGTAGACAATGTCGGCAAAGTAGACAGCAACTACAAGAATGCTTGTTGGGAAAATGACTATTTATTACTGATAAGCTTACCAATGTGGCCACCGCCACCGCTAAATAGCTCGTTTGTGGCGATATCTGGCTTGCACGTGCCCTGCAAGAAGCAAATTAAGCAATAGTAAGCAGAAAACCAAATTACGCAAAGGAATCATGGAAAACAACGTAAAAATGCGAAAACTATGAAGCAGTGGCGTCGCGCTGGATAGTTGGCTTCGTGCCAAGCTCATGCCAATCTCGGGTGGTCCCGCCGCGCCCGTGGGGTACGGTGGATAGTGCCACCGTCCGAATCCGACATATAGTGGTTTATCTAAGGTCAGCGCCGGATTCCGACGGATAATGGTTTTTGTCAATAATTGCCCGACGAGTTCCCGAGCCAGTGTTTTCTTTGCTTATTCTATGCTTTTTAGGTGATTCGTTGCTGATAAAGAAGAAAAGGGTAAGTTAGAGAGTAGTTTCTGCTTTCTGAGAAGTTTTATCATCGCATATTCACAGATATCCACGTGGAAGCAGTTCGCGTCAGCTTCTTGTCTATTTTTTTGTCACTTCATGTCTCTTTCTTCTTGTGAGGTACTTTTTTGAACGCTAGTGGGTTTTTACGATTGACTTATTGTCTTTATCACATGAAGCACTTGATTAAGGTGCTATTTATGGATGAAAGCCGAAGTTGCTGCAAGACAAGCCAACTAGCGTTCAAAGAAACGCCTCACAAGAAGGAGGAGGTTAGGAAGAAGAAGTGACAGAAGAAAAGGAAATGATAAAAAAATTGACAAGAAGCTGACGCGAAATGCTTCCACGTGGATATCTGTGAATATGCGATGATAGAACTTCTCAGAAAACAGAATCTACTCTTTAACTTGCCCTTTTCCTCTTTATCAGCAACGAGTCAACTAAAAAGCATGAAATAAGCAAAGAAACCACTGGAAAACACTAGCTCGGGAACTCGCAAGGCATTTATTGACGCCCCAGCGTTGTCGTCTGCAGGGACACTAATTAAGCAGGAAATCCTCGATTGTATGTGCCTTAGGCCTTGTACAAGGTGCGCCTTATGCCCCGAAAAAGAGGGTATATTATAATACCCTTTTACGCTATAGCTATTTGAAGGAGGGGAGGGCGGTGCTCCAGCTCATAATCAGTTGAGCGTGTTCAACCCATATTCGCTTTCTGGTTTGGAAAGGGTGAGCCGATGGGCACACCCAACAGAACTGCCTCACTTCCCCCCCCCCCCCCCCCTTCGCATAGCTAGAAAGCAATGAGTGAAATTTTGAATATGGCTCGCTATGAACTTGTACTATTACGAACCAAAAGAATGATGGGGATGATCGCGAAGTGTCTTGAACGTTCAACATTCACCGAACGGGAACTCTAGTTCGACTCAGCTTGACATATCATGCATATTGATTTATTAAAAGAAAACACTCGTACAACAGTACCATTAAATATTAGTATAAACCCGTACTTGAACATTTCGGTTAGTTTTATCAATGGCCGACAGCCAACAAAAACTCAGTGACAAGTAACTGGCCGTAAGAGTTATACAAACACGAGCAACATAACCTAGTCATTTCTTATCAGCTATTGAATACCACAAGGTTCAAAGTGACTTCTCATCACTATCAAAAAAGTGCCCAAACGCAGAAAATTATTATATACATGTACGTAGTTACCCTTGTCTTATTCAATAGTCAACAAACGAGAAGTCTCAAAATTGTTATTAGTCAACAAAAAAGCAGGTAAGGCTAGATATGTTTGACTGCATGGAAAAACCAGTTCGTTTTGGTTGCCCAGGAACCATTGAAAGCTTCATCGAAAATCTCCGAGAAAAAACTGCGGGCCTCCGAAGTCATTCCATTGTGAAAAGCCACACGTAGGGTGCTCTGAAGGGTGGCGTAAGGAATCTGTCAGAAACGACACAAGAACTTGTATTAGAACAGACAGCAAACCTTCAAGTGGTCCAGATCAGCTTCTGTCGAAAGTTCGGGCAGCTCCATAGACTGCATCACAGTAAATAATGAAAGAAATAAGTCGCGCTCTTCCCATAACATCATATAAGCGTCACAACATAACCTTTTGAATCTGAACTCTTTTCCTTAAAATTCGGTAGATAGCAAATAAAGATGCCCTCACTTTGTTACTTCATGACTATCCTTAGAAACAGGACGGCCCTGACCAATAACACAAAGAAAATGTTCCGTAAGGACGAATGGCACTCGATCTCGTTTTATGCCCAGCTTGGTTTTTCCGTGTCCCAAAATGTGACCGAAATCTATGTGGAAAAGTTTCCCATCATGAGTCATCATGATGTTATCGTTGTGACGATCCTGAAATTCTGATTCCGCTTCCAGAACTCGCTTCAAATATCGTTCAAAGTTATGGTTTCGTTAATAAATACAGCGGAGAATAATGCCGACGAAGACTGAAGCAAACCACCAAAGAAAAGATTGATCATGTCAAAGTTTGAAGGTTGAGATAAATGCTGTTGGTGATAGTCAAGAAAGCTTACCATTATACCCATTATGAAGGTAGCAACCGAGTAACCAACGCATGACATCAGAAAACGATCTACGCACTCCATATACCTGTGAAAGCGATTGTCACTCACGAACTCACAAAAACATGGAATCAATAAAACCTTTGTACTAGAGAGACATGCTGTCACCCACTTTTTCGTAGATCCCGCATGACTCTTGATGTAGCGATTGATGAATGTCGTTTCCAGTGATTTCACAGCTGTGCCTACTTTACCGCCTTCGGATTGGATTTCGAAGATTGTAGAGCAATTTGGAACCACGCCAATCATACCATACTGAGCAATTCATTCTTATATCACCAAGAAACGCTCGAAACAGTCGCACTCTTGGAGTATAAGAGTACATGATACCTTCGTTCCCATGGGAAGCACCGGATATGGACTTAAACTACAGTCCAGTTGATTTTTCTTCCATATAGTATCCATGACTTCTAGAACTTGCAGAACCAACATGTCTTGACGGAGATCTTAAAAATAACATACAAATGAACAAACGGTGAAACGAGATGTACCATCTCACCGTCTCCATTCTTGAATATAATTTCATAACTAGGCAAGTGATACTCGGAGAGAGGACTTCGGTTCTGCCAAGACAAAAGAAGAGGCATTTTAGCACTGCCTAACACACGACATTTGTCAATTCTAAATAGCTGCAGTATGAAATGGCAGGAGGATTTCTACAAAGACAAACTGACCTCAACTGACCCAATGCATTGCTTGGATCTAATGGGGAATCAATCTTTTCCAGACTAGGGCAATGATTTCTTAATTCTTCTCGCAGGCGCTGACCGAAGAATAATTAAGAAACAAGTCAGGTCCAAAAAAGACAACTACCTCCGTCGCGGCATCCTTATCGCCTTTGTATCCCTTCACAAGTATACTCAATTCGTACAGAAGGTCTACCATTTCCACCTAAATCATGAAGATCCAACAAAATACAAGATCCAAATACCTAAGATATTGCTCAAGAATCTGAGTAGAATATTAAATCAGAATTGAAGTATAGAATCGTAGCGCGATTTGCAAGATAAGCTACTTCAAATATTCACCTGTTTTACCACCGTTCGAATATGCTCGTCATTTCCACGCAAGTATGCTTCAATTATCAGAGCAAATCGTTTGTACAACTCCGTCACATGTCCGTCATTATCTCTATGAATTATACATGGATCCGATGTCTTAGGGATGACATCTTTTAAAAACTCACTTGAGATTGGCAAGCTCGGCTCTGAGAAGCCAAAACAGTTTGTGACCAGTACGATAGTCGCTGAGGGCTTTTTTAAGCAATAGACACGAGAGTGGAGAATATGACCAAGCCTCGCATTTGAGTGCCTGAACGGAAAAGAAAACTGAAAGGAAAAGTACTATTCAGTTTTGAGTATTTAAAGGCCAGAAATTTCGGACATGGAGGTTTGCAGAACGCAACGAAAATTGTTATTGCTCACTTGTATGAATGGCAGAATAAATAATGGGAAAGTCTGAGTGTCAAGCAGCGCATCTAGCTGATCCACAGCGAACCGTCGAATGATGGGATCCATACACCTACAATTGAAGCGAACGAAATGAAGTGCACAAGCAAAGTTTGATGTGACCAAGCGGACATTCCATACTGAGCTTACTTTTTTCCTAAAATGGACAGAGCTGTACCAACAGTAAGTCTACCCCAATTTTCCAGCATCACATAAAGTTCGGTGAAGTGTTCGCGTTTCTTCCACGTCTCTCCTGCTTCAGCTATTACAAGCAGAGCATCGGGTATGTTCTGACACACGTAATGCCTAAAATAAGGGTTGTATATATAGCCAATGGGTCGAATGTTGCGGAACCATTATGTGTCATAAAAAAAATTGTAGGCTTCCAAACTAATTCGAAAAACAATGTATGAAAATGAAAAAGTCTCTACCTCTGACTCCACACAAACAACTCCTCTTCCACGGATACTGTCCCACCGAGTAAGCGCTTTCTTATCGTATCTAGTATTCTTCTGATGGTGAACTCATCAGAGCGCTGAAAGATAAAAAAGACATTAGCGGCGGTAGCAAAATAAAACGAAAAAGACTTACGACTTTCGCTGGCTTCTCAATAGAGTAAATAAATTTTACGAATGGAGCAAACTGACTGCTGTCCGGTATTTTCACTCGAGAACGATACCGTGCTAGTTCGATCATTAGACGACACTTTGAACCTAGGCAACAAATACTGCATTGTTTTATAACCAACATAGAAAAACTACCTTGTTTATGATCGTTACTCCCTATGCGTCCATGAGGAGGGTATTGAGGTTCTCCACCCCATAAGTTCAAAGTAAGCACGCCCTGTAGCAATTCCCCACGCCAGTCAAGTAATCTTATATTCGCCCAACCCAAAACCCGATCTTCCGACTGAAAAACCCACAAGATATAGGCGACGTAAGATATAAGATCAAACAGAAAGTAGAACCAACCTTTCCTTTCCTCACTTTCGTCTCAACTAAATGGACAGTTAAAATAGCAGCCAAGGGCAAATCTTTCATGTACAAATCGAATGGAATCATTTCCTACAAAGATTACTAATTAATAGACGTTTTAGAAAAGAAGGACGCTGACCTCAGCCCAACGTGGGTTATGGCTTGGGACTTTGCTAGAAGCTTTGTGTACCAGTGAAGTTTTACCACAATAAACACTGAATTCCACACTGATCTGAAGAGATTACTTGCAAATCTAGCAGGAAACACATACTATAGATCAGAATGGGTGTTTAACCTTAGGTTATGAGTGCAGTAAAATTGTGCTTAGCACGATAAGGTTGAAAAAAAAAAGCTCAAGCTCGTATAAAAAGAAAAAACAAGGAAAGTTCACCATGACAATAGAACGCAAAATAACAGATAGAACCTAATGACCTCATGTTCGAAAAGAATAAGACGCTCACATTAGAGTCCATGTCTGACGTATCCATATTGCTGCAATTCAGGGGTCGCATTGATAAATACTCGTCAACATCCCATAAAGTGATTGGTGCTTCGCCAGAATCATTAGAAGCACTGGCCGCCGTACTGCTGTTTTTGACTTCTTCGCTGGCTTTACGACTTTCTTCAGCTCGAACATAGTTTGGCTAGAAAATATACGGTGATTTAAAAAAAAACATGGAAATTGAAGAACTGACCTTGTGTATCGGTCGTGGTTTCGGATAATCAAGCAAAACAATCTCTCTACGTCGAAGGACAAATCGAGGATTACGATAATTCTCAAAGGCAGATCGTACATCCTAAATCCCAGATGACATGGACACTTGTTGTTTATTGGATCTCAACTAACGCTATATGTAATCAGCAGCTGGTCACATTTAGTAAGAAAACTTTTTTGTCCCACTGGTTGGAGCAAATAATCAGCGTCATTTTCTTCATTCTAAAACATATTTTGCAGAAAAAAAACTTCATAAACGGTGATTAAGTTACTTTGACATGCCCAGATCGTTTGAAATCTCGCACTACTTTCGAAACCAACGAAGTTGGTGTCAGATCTGGTGCAAAGTCAACTATAGCTTTAGCAGCTCCATGATCTACACCAGCCTTTTCGTCCTCCAATGTTCGGAAGAACACCTGATAGGTTAGGTTTGCAGCTGAAAAGATCCATAGTCAGCGTGTTGGATACATTTGCCAATCGAAAACTACATTTAATTTTGGCAATGAGGGAATGAGGGCATGGTTGAACAACGTCGATGGCAATTGCCTCTGGGAAAGCGTAGTGATCATAGCCTTCACTTCCTGAAACAACGCAGTAAAAGCAAGAAGTTTGAGAAAAAAAGCTACGATAACATAAAAAAGCAATGCTTGAATTTTTGCAATGTAAGCTGCTCTCACTCAGTTCCCTTCACCACGAATCTTACCTCTATTATTGACGGCATCGCATGTGTCCTTGAAAAGTGCAGCCCTACATGCTTTCAGCTCATCGGTGAAACCGGCTTCTAGTTCATCAAGCGAGTACCCCAAAGCTTGTCCTGCAAAGGAGAAAGATGAAGACATTATCAGAAAAACTTAAAACGAAGGAAAATCGAGAACAAATTTCAGTTTTCCACATATTACAGTCAATAACTCACCAATAACTTGAGCCAAGTCACGCTCATGTCGAAAACTTTCCGGTTCAAAAAGCGACAACATCGGATAAGGTTTGGTGAAATCAATTTTTGACAAAAGCATCTCTTCATTATAAAGCTCTTCCATTTCACCGGTAGATTTGCGTAAAACACGGAACACATAATCCGTAGGTTTCATAGAAAAATTCGACACTGCCATTCTAAAACGAGAAAACTGCATTCACATTCACAGTCATCTGCTTATGTTGCCTACCTCTTCAGATTCTCAAACAACTTCGCCTTCAAGGAAGCTAAGCTATATTCAAATCCGCAACATACATTAGCTTGCATCCAAGGCAAAACAACCTAAGCAGAGCATATTTAGAAAACACTTTTGGACCAAATTACTAACCGTAAGATGGCGTCGTTCACCTGCGCCACCTAATTCAAGGCAACTAATAGGATCTGATGACGAAGTGCAAAGAAGAGATGGATTGGTGTAATCGACATCAAACACAGCTCTTCAAAAGTTTGATGGTTTGAAAAAGAAATGAAGGAAGCTTGTGTTCGCACAACAATGGCTTACTTCTTCCTTGTCTCCCATTCCTCATGCAGACCTTGAAGTGTGGAATGGACGCACTCAATTTTGCTCATTCGATGTTCAGGTGGTGGAGGTATGACATTCTCACGTGGGGACATACCAAGAAAGTCACTACGCGAGTTAGATGGACCTGGAACATCATTCCCAGGACTCGCCGCGACCACTCCACCACTCATTTGAGCTGCACGATCGCAACCTCCTGCCCCTGAAGATGTCCTAGTTGCACCTGGTAAGAAGCAGAAATCAACAATAACAGAGAGTAGACCATCCTCGCAAAAGCTCATTGAGGCAATCATGGGAAAAAACCATAATACAGAACAATATGATTCAATGTTATATTTATTATCAAAATTGCAATAGCTTAATTAGATCAGTATTTACAAATTAGCCCGTATGAAGGTTCAGGATGTCAGAAACAAGTGGACAGCGTCAAAGATTACGGGCGCGATGTTGGTTGCGCTCCAGAAGGCCGTGGTAATTGTGTAGTAGTGTGCGTAGATGATGTCGCTGTCGCAGCACGACCCATACTAATTTTGAGACCTTCGCCTACCATGGTTGCTCGTACAAGACGCACGGTTTCCTCTTTGTTGAAGGTAGGCTAAGACCAAATGAGATAAAGGAGTACACGAGTAAGGGATAAAATGAAACCTTTTCAGCAAAATTCTCATTGTGGGCGCGATCCGAAGAATGAAGGCTTTGCAGCAGAAGATCTACATACTTATTCAGGTGGGTAATTTGTTTGTTAATCACATCTTGACCTAAAAGGAGCCACTGGACATTGATGACGCATAGAGTAAGGAAGTGTAATCCTCACCTTTTTGGTTCTTATCTTGTTCTAGTATCATCTCTTCAGATTCCATTTCGGGATTCAATTTTGTTCGTAAGTAATCAGGAACAACATCATGATTCCATGAATGAACGCGAAATGACGTCAAATTCTAATCAGTACACATTACTCCCTAATTCCATGAGAGAGGAGATTATGTTTATGATTCAAGAAAGCATGACAAACAAAAAGTGAAGGGTATGTTCATGTGCTCATAAAAATGTGTACAGTGGCAATCCTCAAAGCATAATCACATGAAAAAAACCATGTACGGTGTTGCAAAAATCGAACTATAATTTTGAATCAAATCACAATCACCTGCAGCTGTTGGTCCGGTTCAAGCTGGAGCCGCTGCGGTACAAGAACATGACTTCGCAGAAGAGCGCCATGGTCTTCGTGACCTTTAAAGCTATGATCTGGCTTCATTCATTTTAGTATTTAGCACCACCTGACTGGATAGCACTTTTCTTCAGTGCTCCTTGCAGCTGCGACATGGCTGCGGCTAGAGAAGAGAACTTATCCAACATGTCAGGCCTAGATTCCAAAGGTCAAGGAAGATGGCATATCGTTCACACGACGAATTTTGAAATAAATGAATTGAGAGCACTGGAACGTACCAGGGAACTTTTTCCTGCATATCGAGCATATACAGCAGTTCTTCAACGATTTTCTTCGCATCTAATGCTTTCACCTCTAGATAACTAATGGCAGAATTCATCTGAAAAATTCCAATGAAACTAAAGTTGATACTGGTTCAAAGCCAGTACCTTTTCAGGGTCACTCTGATAGTTGGATGCCTGTGGCATGGGGAACGCCGGTGGGATATTCATCTGGGACGAAAACAATACAGAGACAAAAACTGCAATTGTATAACCAGCATGCGAGGATATTGGCCGGGAGTTGATCAGAATACGGATAAGAAGGATTCATAACCAACCCGTTTACAAGAAGAAAATACATGGAGGATAGTGATATCATCAAGTGAAACTGAGAAATCTCGGGAAACATGGATGAGTGAGATAGCCGCACATATCAAGAAACAATGGGAGATACTGCATGAAAATAGACTCCACTACCGACAAAGGTTAGAACGGAGCTGAATTATAAAAATAAAAGGGATCGATGAGGTCAAGCTATACTCTACTTATCAAGATGAAGCTGTTTTAACGTCATCTCTCGCGCTTTATTACGTCTTTCTTCCTCCTTCTTGATAAAGTCATCATAGTCGAATGACAGGGGGATCAAATTTGAGTACTGCGGGTTATGCACGTTGACACTGGCAGCGGCAGCCTGAAATGTCAAAGAAATCGTTCTGAAAGCGCAAAAGAATCTCATGATACAAAGTCTAGCACATGAACGACATGATTCATGAAATATAGTAAACAGATCATAACTAAAGGGCAAATAAAAACAAAAACAGGATTATTCTGACGCCAATCTTTTCATTCAAAAGGCGTTAAACAACATACGTCAAGGAGATCGCAAAAAACAGACACGATTTTCACATGCATGCAACCTCCTTACCTGTTTCAATGCTTCCTTCTCAATCAAGTCCTGATTTTCTTTGATGAGCTGCTCAACAAGGGCCTCCGTTGCTGAAGGACCAGACTGCGATCTAGCCGAGCCTGAATATGAATTGTAGAAGCATTACAAGAACTACAAGCTCATGAGGAGACAAAGGCCATACTGATCCGGATATCCAGGAACAATCACAACACATCGCTTGAAATAAGCGCTGTGCTGGAACTGCTCCCGGACTTCGGGATCAGTATTTATGAACGCAGCCAAAGCTATGCTTATGACTGAGCACTACAAACCCAAAACTTGGACACAGAAGTTCAATATATGTGGAAGCAACTTACTCCGAACTTGAGCAGCGGGACTGCCGCCGGCAAGCCATTCCTTATAGAAATCCTCCGGCAAAGGCGCTGGGATGTCTTTGTTAGGATAGAGATAATCCGCTTGCCCGCCTGTTCGAGCTGTCATGGTTACTAAACGAGTAGAATACATACATTCTCATCGGGATGAAAGGAAGTGGCATATGCGCCAAACAGGGAACAAAAGCAGGACAGATAGAGTTTAACATTGAATTTAGGCATAGACAAGAAAGCGCTACTATACAGGAAGAATAAAAGAAAACATCCTACCCCAAAGCACGGAATCTCGATAAAGCGAAAATCATCGCAAAACTTTCCAAAGTGACCAAGAAGAGGTCCACCAAAAATTTACTGACAGCGCATGGTCAGTTAACACCGCGGTCTATGATGTGCAGTACTCAGTAACATAAACTCGTGATTGTTTTCCGCGACATTAAGGTCAATTGGAAAAGGCAAGGATCAAACTATAGAAACAAGGGCATTGTGGGACCTCGTTTTTATGCAATCATAAAATGATTTGAGCGAAAAGTCCTGATCTTATTACAGAACGAGGCCTATACACTGCCGCATAATCTACAGCATAGTAGGGGGAACGTCCGGAAGGCGACAAATGACCTATAGGTCATTTCTATAGAATACGTTACCGTTCTATAGAACATGGACGTCGAAACGCACAAGCGTAGGACGTACAGTATTTGGCCAAACCTACATTAACCGAAAAATAATGTGCTCCAAACAAGATTCGCACTAGAGCGCCAATCTCGTTCGGAGCACCATATTTTTTCGGCTTAGCCAGCTATCATTCTATAACAGAAAAATAGCAACGTATTGATTAGCACTTTTTGCACCGGCCTTTAAATTCGTTGCGTGAGCCCGAATACCGTACCCCATTCCCTCTCGTGTTTGATGAAAAAAAAAGCGATTGACGCGCACAAACTGCAGATGCAATGTAGTCTCCATGGTCTAGTGGCTAGGGGGTGCTAATCTCAGCTGCCAGACTCGGGTTCGATTCCCCACTCAGGAATTCCTTTTTGCCACTAACGTTGGCTCCAAAAAACAGCTGGTTTCTCCACAGATCCTATCATATATAAAAAGAATCTGTGTCTCAAAATTCAAAGGTACCTCCACTTCAAGGACATATTTCGCCCCCAAAATGAACGAAATATAAAAATGTAAGAGCATTTTCGCTTAGGAGCTTGTTGTCTTCCTTTTATTGGTACCATTCTCTCCGACCCGTCTTCACTGGTTCGTGAGTTATGAGCGTTCAAAGTTAACGTATCGGTTGAAAGCGCTGCCGCTTCTTGAACGATATCTTTCGTGGTTCTGATAACCACTCAGGTAATCGCGGGGGGCAGGCGGCCATGCGATGAGCAAGCGGGCACCGGAAAAATAGTTCGCTGATTTCTTGCGGCCTGCTTGCAGAAATTTGAAGAAATGTTGACCAGTTTTCAGGCGAATGCTCGGAAAACTATCGCGGTTTTCCTATAGATTAGTTGCGGCGCATTGGCCGCATTCTCGCGGATTTTCCGCGAGAATATGCAAAATTGATGGGATCGGTCATACTATTCCTGCTATTCCTACGACTCCTGCGAATCCTGCGATTCCTGTGAGTCCCGCACAGTTTAGACGCCGCTTAAATGAGCGCGTGTTGCGTAAAACAACACGTAACACGCAACACGCGCTCATTTAAGCGGCGTATAAACTTTTTTGTATTGTTGTATATTGTTTTATTGTTTTTTGTACCGGAAATTTTGTATTGCTGCCCGCTGGCAGAAGACGAAAGTACCGCCCGCTGAAGGTTTGGCCACGCCCCAAAATTCTGCTGACCGCCTGCAGAAAAGCGCGAGTTTGCGGACCGCCTGCCCCCGGCGATTATCTGAGAAGGAAGTGCCGCCCGCTGAAGGTTTGGCCACGCCCTAAAATTCTGCTGACCGCCTGCAGAAAAGCGCGAGTTTGCGGACCGCCTGCCGGCGATTATCTGAGTGCTTGCGGGGAAGTTCGAACGGTGCTATTTTTGTGTCCGCGGCCCAAAATTTCAAAGTTGTGAATTTGGCTGAGATTTGGTCGATGGGGATCACAAATATTACATTCTTTTTTCACAAAAACGCCACTTGGTGGGGCAACGGTGGGTATAAGTAGAAGAGTCACTTCAGTTTTGGCTGAATTTTGGTCTAGGGGGTTTTCTGAGGTGCTAATCACGAATACATATTCTTTCTGCATTCTGCGGCGAGCTTAGTCTTCCAAAATCCTTCGAACCAACGTACGCCGGGCCCTGCGGTTTTGGCACGAAAGATGAGGGGGACGCTGTGAGCATACTGACTAGAAGTGCATTGAAGGGGGAGGAAGATACTGTGACTTTCTCCAGTAAGCTTTTGAAAAAAGGAGGTTTTGCAGACCGGACAGTTCCTTGAATAACAAAGAAAGAGTGGACAACTTCACTGTGGACTTTTAGAGGGAAAAAATTAGTGCATTTTGGCTAAGAAACTGGGAATGGAGACTAACTAAACTAATATTTTAAGGCTAGAGTGATGAGGAAATTAAGCTCTTGTGGAAGACAGCCTTTCCGCACGGGCGGTCTCCAGCGCTATCCTGATTTTGACTTGTCTTAACACGTCAGCAGGCCGCAAATCTTTCTTCCGCCTGCTTTGCTTAGGCAAAAGCCGCCGCAGGGTGTTCCGCGCGCGACAGTAGTCCTGTGTGGAAAGCAGTACGGACGCGAATCGTCCTCATCCTCCTCTAATGTTTGACGGAAAAAGCTGCTAACGCTTTGAAAAAATTTTACACCAAAAAGAACGTACAATATATCAGCTAAGAAAAGCCACAGAAAAGAGAGCTACGTGAAGGACGCTATACGAGAGAGTCTCGAGAAAAAGCGCGAGTTGTAAGGTGTGCATTTCTGTTTTGGAGAATGAGCTTCACTAAACGCGACATCTTTCTTGACTCCAAACGTTCTTCTGCAAGCAGTCGTACTTTCGTCATTAGAACTATATGCGCACCATGCCTTCCCAGCAGAACTTTCCAATCAAAACATCACTAGATGAAGTTTATTAGCTTTTACGGCATCGGAAAAGTGTTATACGAGGCTTTGGTGACTCAATACAACATTTCTCACACCTGTTAGCCATTGGGCTGCTAGTTCTATTAAGATAAATATGACAGTTTCTTTTTCATTTTCACACTAGAAAAGCAATGTTTTCTCTAAAAGTTTTAAAACTGCTTTTTGTTTTGGTTTCTTATGTACCTGGGGTTATGTTTCATGCTGATTTCGAATACAGTCTGCATTTTGCGAGGTCGTCGTTACTCTACTAGAGTAATTTTGAGGGAACACTGTTCTCGAAACTAAAGGAAAAAATTCGAAGTTATTATTCAAGTTGAAATCTACAGAAGAGGTTACTGATAGAGAGTAATACCGAAACGAAGAGGGAGGCTAATTGATCATGTCGCTGGAGATACAGTCTGCCCCAATCCTAACCAGGCCAAAATTGGCTTGGCGGGAGTGCGCGTCGCGAGGGTTTCGCGCCACTTCTGCGTCTAGCTAGTCTGCTCTCTCCTCAATTTCTTCACTCTCTGCGACAGCGCGCGTAGGCAGCGCAAACCCCTAGCGCTGCGAGCGCGCAAAATCAGCCGACGGTTCGGCCTGATCCCGATTGGGGCAGACTGTATGTTAACATAAAAAATAAGTAGAGAACAAAAATGAAATAAAAAGCTAATCAAAGGGCAACTAAAAGAGGCAAAGTCGACGAATACTTACTGAATATAGTGGAAATGACAAAGTATTGGAAGCAGTATGCGAACGTATCATTTTGAAATCAACAAGTTGGCTAACTCCTTCCGAACAAACCGAAATGCATATCATATTCGGAATCACCATGAAAAATAAGCCCAGGCAGATAAGAAATCAAAACGTAAGGCGGTTTCAAGACTTTCAGAAAAAAACACACTTTTCTAGTACTAAATAACGATGAAAATGGTGGAAATGAAAAAAGAAACTGTCATATTTATCTTAATAGAAGAGCTGGCAAAAAATAAGCCAGAAATATGGTGCTCCGAACGAGATTGGCGCCCTAGTGCGAATCTTGTTTGGAGCACATTATTTTTCGGCCAATGTAAGTTTGGCCAAATATTGTACGTCACAAGCGTACCTAGTACAGTCTGCCCCAATCGGGACCAGGCCGAACCCTCGGCTGAATTCGCGCGCTCGCAGCGCTAGGGGTTTGCGCTGCATACGCACGCTGTCGCAGAGAGCGAAGAGATTGAGGAGAGAGCAGACTAGTTAGACGCAGAAGTGGCGCGAAACCCTCGCGACGCGCACTCCCGCCAAGCCAATTTTGGCCTGGTTAGGATTGGGGCAGACTGTACCCTGATCGGCAACGCGGCAACGACGCGCAGTTTTTCCGCCAAGCGCGACAGCGAGCGCGAATTTAGTTTTTTTTAAACGTTTTTTGAAGTATCAGACGCCGATCTTTCCACGCTTGTCTGTTTTTCGAATTCGTCCCGACTTTCAAGCGCACGATTATTGGAGTATGTATGCAGTAAGACTTTATGACGAAGTCAGATCAGCTACTGGGGTGTGAAGTTCCTGAATTGCCGCTCATTATTCGTGAAAAGAGAATCGCGGCGGCTATGCTTGAACTTCCTCCACCAAAGTTCACCGAAATTTTGCATCAGGTCTGTGTTCAGAGTGGACTAGTTCTGAAGGTTACCACTGAGCTACTTCGATATGGCACGCCTTTGTATATATCTACATATCTAACTGCTTTAGCATGGGGTACAGTAGCTAGTGTAAGATAGTTATCAAACTTCTTTCCCAGTTTTTGCTTACATAGGCTGCTCACTGTGACAATTACAAATTATTTGATGCTAGAGGACATTGCGAGACGCGGTAGGGTGGATTTGCAAAGAAACAACCACCATGAATATCTCGCCTTTCTCTTTTCAGCAATTATCTTCTCGATTTGGTTGCTCCTCGAAGTCACTCACCGAGGCTCAACCCGTGTTTTCACCATGTATAACTTTCAATTCTCATTCTTATTAGGATCCCAAACATATTGCTGACCGGCGGACAGAACAAGCATTTCGCAACTCAGTGTCTTTTTTCTGTCTGCGCGACCTTTTCAAATCAATAAAGGTAACATTTTGTCGTGACCAAACCCGTTAGTGGGAATCTGAGCCTCAGATTAACGATGCTTCTCCACTGCGTGATATTTGGGAGGAATTCCAGACTGTACTTCTTGGGGTTCGCGGACGAAATGCAAAACCGTCTGTTCCTGATCCCTCTTCCCCGCACCATATGTTGCATCGCATCATACTCGCCATATGTTATCGCATAATACCCTTTGTGGCCTGACTCGGGCCAACCCCGAACGGCATTCTCGTTTTGTGTTGGTCCGGCACCCAGCCGGCCTTTATGTTGCGGAATAACGATAAAGATTCAAAACTTCCACTGAACCATCTTGTAGCCACCACAAATTGGTGCATCGACTAAAAGAAATAGCCGAACAAGTCCAGGCCACCCTAACCTGGCAAAAAAGTCCAGCAAACCCCCGCTGGCACACAAGTCCAGGGCAACCCATCCTGGCAAAAAATAGCAAACCCCCTCTGGCCCCCAGGTCCAGGACACTTTCCTTGAACACCAAAAAAGTAAGCAAAATCACTAGCGCAAAAACAGAAAAATGGCGCTATTTTTCTTCAAAAGACCAATTGCACAAAGTGCAGAAACTTTGCAAATGCTACTGCAAAAATTCGCACCATACAAAGAGGAACTAATCCTTCAAGAATCAGACGATGAAAACTATGAGACGTGCCTAGGATCGATAAACCTGATAACCGGCAGCATACAATCTATCCAACAAAGTAAAGATTCTCTTCAAGTCCTCCTCGACAGACTTCAAAACAAATGGGAGGACAGCAAGACAAGATTAAGTAAAAAAGGAATGGAAAAAGAACTTGAAGAACTAGAAAAAGAAACGAAATGTATGGAAAACATAGCAAAAGCAAATGAAATGATTCTGATATTAGGAACCAGACTTACCGAAGCACGAAATCACGCAGAACGGCTGTCGCGTAAGTTGGACACAACGTTACCTAAAACATTTCACCCACATATCACAGAAACAAGCTCCGGGAGCAACATTGTCGAAAACAGCGACGAAGTGATCAATCCAAATGATGCAGCCTGGCTATCAGAAGATAGCTCCGACAGCACCAGAGTTCCAGAAAGCAGCAGAGCTGTATTGGAAGAAGGCAGCAGAGCTGTGGTGGAGGAAGATGTCTATCGTTGAAACCGAGTGCAATGCAACTACCAAGATTTTGGGGAGACAAAGAAGAGTTCCCGGAATTCTGGGCGGTGTATGAGACCCTTGTTCACCAAAGTAAGGTGCTAAGCACGGTAGAAAAGAGAGCCCAGAGCTCTTAAGAGACAGCCTAAAGGAAGAGCAGAGATGGCCGTTAAGAATCCAAATGATTCCATAGAACTACACATGGATGGTAGAAACGCTCAAGAAAAAATACGGCAATAAACCGGTGAACAGAGCAAAAATCGCCCAAAAACTTATCAATCTCCCACCTGCAAAAAACACAGCGGACGGTTGCTCACATACATTCGATAATATTCGCATGCTGATCAAATGGTATCAGCAGGACAAGACATTCCCAAACTGACAGATGCAATGTGGACAGAAAAAATTCTGGAGAAATTTCCATACAGCATAGTAAAAAAGGTGCTCCTAGTTTGCAAGGAAAGGAAGAAGTAAAGGTCGAAGAGGTCCTTGATCAAATCGAAAACGAAATCAACGCCAAAAAATATGTGGAATCCCGGCTACAGTTCCACTTCAAAAGCGAACATCAAGAAAATAGAAGACATCAAGCCACAGACAGAGGGGACTACCCAGAAAACGAGAAAAAATGCATTTTTTGCGCTAGTGCGGACCATTTCTCCGCAAACTGCCGCGCAGTCACGGATGTAACACAAAAGAGAAAAAAATCATGGAAACAAAACGCTACTGGAAGTGTTTTTCTAGCCAACACAGAAGCAATCAGTGCAACAAGCCTGATTGCCCCGCATGTGAGCGAATGCACCATTCCAGCTTGTGCTTTCCAAACACGAAAGGATCAAAAAATACGGTAAAAATCAACTTCACGAGCGAATCGCTTCGGTAATCCACAAAACAGCAGCAAAAGACCTCCCGCTGTGGAACCGAGAACAGGCCAAGGATTATGGCGCAATCGCACAGATCAAGAGGTTCCCAGGAATGAAATGAACAATTTTCACAAGGAGGAAGTACCCAACACTTCACCAGAGCAGAGCACCGCTACAGAGTGCAAAAAAGATCAAATAGTGCTTATGACAGCGGAAGCAAGAAGCAAACTTGTGGAGTAACCGAACTAAAAAATTTGAACGAGTTCTGGTATTTTTCGATACTGGGGCACAACGAACATTGATCAACGAGACAATTGCACATGAATTTGACCTACACAAACAAAGCAGCGATATCTGCACAATGTCGGGCATTGGAGGTCCTATTGAGAAATTCAAAACCTTCCACGTTCAAATCAAGATTTCCACCGTATTCGGCAAGGAAATAGAACTGATCGTTAGAACAAAGCCTGTAATAACAAAAGGTTACCCTTCCGCGCGTCTCATGGAACAGGATAAGCAATTTTTGCAGGAACATGGCATTTGCTTGTGTAACTCGAGAATAAGGGGCGAACACCAAGACCCCCAAATCTTGATAGGGCTCGATTACCACTACGATTTCGTTCTCAGTAGCAACAAGACAAGATTGCCATCTGGACTTTATGTAGCGAAAACTGTTCTGGGCCCCACACCCCACGGACGTGGAGCAATCGCGCCAGAACTCCCCGGAGAAGACGTTTCTCACGCTCTCACGCTGATCGAAGACAGTAACGAGCTAGAAATGCTTCAAAAATATTCGAACTCGACGGATTAGGAATTTCCACGGACGAATTTTCTACCAGCGAAAAAACGTTACAATATTATCAGAACTACAGCAAAAGGATTTCATTCGAAGAAGGTGTGGTAACCGCCCCGTATCCATTGAAAGATAATGTAATTAACCTGGCTGATAATTACGCAATTGCCTATCGTTGACTAGAATCTTTGCAAAGGCAACTAGCAAAGAGTCCATCACAAAGTTCCTGCTACACAAACATGCTAGACAAGTACCTTGCAAATGGCATAATTGAAAAAGCAACCTTTCAGATCGAAAACTCGGCAGGAATCTACTATATGCCCCATTCGGGAGTATGGAAAAACTCTGCTACAAAATCTCTTAGAATTGTTTTCGATGCATCTTCCAAACAAAGAGGACAACTTTCATTAAACAACGTCATTTTCACTGGAGAATCATTCGCCAACAAAATCCACGACATTCTAATTCGCAGCAGATTTAGCAAGTTTATTCTAACATATGATATCGAGGCTGCGTTTACACAAATCAGATTGACAAGCGAGCACAAAGACCTTTGTCGCTTTCTTTGGGTCAAAGACATCAAACTCCGGCCGACAAAAGGCAATCTGATAGTTTACAGATTCAACCGTCTGCCATTTGGTGTGACGGCTTCGCCTAGTATTTTGAACATGACAGTACTAGCTTATTTGAATGGAAAGAACACACCTCTTTCACAAGAAATCGCTCAAAATATCTATGTAGACAACATCTCAATGACAGCCGATAGCAAGGACGAAGCGTTGCAAAAATATACTGAGTCAAAACAACTATTTCGTGAAATTGAAATGAATTTACTTGAATACTTGTCTAACTCAAACAACGTAAATAACGCTATACCTGTTCAAGACAGAAATCCTGTAGAAGTAGTAAAGTTTCTTGGAGTTGTTTACTATACGAAAATAGACGAATTTGAGGTGAAAGTAAACATTTTACCAAAACTAAATCTCACAAAGAGAGATGTAGTTAGCACAATTAACTCCATCTATGATCCCATAGGGCTAACGGCACCACTAATAGTCAAATTAAAATCCTTGATGCGCGAAATTTTCGAAACGGGCATAGACTGGAATGACGGTGTCAACAAAGAATTGACGCAAAAATGGAACTCAGCTTGAAAAGAGATAACAAACACAACCATCAGGTTCCCTAGAAAACTTACTCAGAATGTGCTAACGCATTGCGCGAAAGTTCACACCTCACAGGTGCGACATAATCTCGGGTCACAACCTACAGTCTGCCCCGATCCCAACCAGGCCAAAATTGGCATGGCGGGAGTACGCGTCGCTAGGGTTTCGCGGTCACGCCCACGGCCTGCTTCTCTGCTCTCTCTTCAGTCATTTTGCTCTCTCCGACAGCGCGCATATGCAGCGCAGACTGCGAGCGCTGTGAGCGCGCAAAGTTACGCCGACGGTTCAGCCTGATCCCGATTGGAGCAGACTGTATAGTAGACGTCATCCGTCTAGTCACCTCGGTGCCGTGTGTGCTATTGCACACAATTTTGAAATCCCGGATGAGGTGCGGGGTTCGCGCCGTGCCGTACTTGCACCAAGTACGCGTACGGCTAAAATTCGACGCCAAATTTTGCCGGTTTTTCTTATTCCGGTGCTTTTTTTTTGTTTTTGGCTCCGCGCACGTCTGGTTTTTGATGATTTGTTATCTTTATACCGTGCGTTGCCGTTTTAGATCGCAAATTTCAAAATTTTTCACTTTTGATTCCAGGTGAGAGCGGCAAATGGGCAATCCTGCAGGATTTCAAGGTAAGTGTGCTTTCTTCAATATTGTCGGATGTAGAAAGAGTAGAGTGTCTCTTGAGAAGTACGAGTTTTTGTTTAAAGAAATCCCACTATAGACTTAGAAGAAGCTTTCCAAGAGGAACTCGGTACAAGACGATTTCAGTGAGGAGGAAGTTGAAACTCGTATTGTCTACGAGATACTCTATTCTTTCTACATACGACTATACCGAAAAACACACTTCACAATCCTGCAAGATTGCCCACGCGCCTTCCTTGCCTGGAAGCAGAAGTGATAAATCTCAGGATATCCTATCTAAAACGGCAATGCACGAGTATAAAGGTAGCAAATCTTTGAGAACGAGACCATGCGTGCAGAAAAAGTGCTTAAAACAAAAAAAACATCAAAATAAGAAAATCGGACAGTTTGGCGTCGAATTTCAGCCGTATGCGCACTTGGTGCAAGTACGGCATGGCGCGAACCTCGCACCTCATCCGGGATTTCAAAATTGTGTGCAATAGCACACACGACACCGAGGTGACCAGACGGATGACGTCTACTATACTTTATGGATTTTCTGCGACGCCAGCAACTTAGCCATCGCGACCTGCGCCTTCCTGCGATATAATGACACCAGAGAGGTCACTCAATTGATTTGTGGGAAATCAAAACTAACACCAAAAAGGAGCAGACAAACGATTCCTCGCTTGGAATTGATCGGAATCCTCATTGGGATGAGGCTAAGCAAAAGTATATCAGCAAACCTCGAATTCCGAACTGAGCGAGTACAAATCGTGAGCAATAGCGAAATAGCGCGCAAAGGATCAAATCTACGCGAAAATTACCACCATTCGTAACTGATGAAAGAGAGAATTCATAAACTCAAAAATGAACTTGAAAACAAAGGTATTCCAGTAAGATTTTTCCATGTTCCAACCCAGGACAATCCAGCTGACGCTGGAACCAGGGGTTTATCAAGATCACAGAGCAATGACCACGCATGGATCAGAAGTCCACAATGGTTAAAACTTGTAATTACGACTGGAAATTACGCGACCTTCCCTCAATCAGTGTAGACGAAGACTACAACGAATTCCAAGAACTCCCCGCCATTGAAACTTCCGAAAACAGCAGGGAAAGTGAAAATCAATCGCTTATTGATTTATCAAGATTTTCACGTTATAAAACGGTGATTCGTACTTTTGCTCGAGTTGGAAGATTATTACATAAATGGATATCTCGATGCAATTTGTCAAGAAATACTATGATTACCACGACCATCTTGCACGATCTCAATCCAGAGCCGCAGATAACCTGCGAGGACATGCAAAAAAGTGAAAATATCATTGTTTCATTAGCACATAAAAGTATAGAACTGAAATCATTATAAAAAAGGTTTCCAAATCAGATCTTCGTACGAGACGAATCTGGA